AAAATGGGCAGAGGATGTGAACAGAGATTTTTCCAAAGAAGACATACAGATGGCCAACAGGCACATGAAAAGATGTTCAACATTACTAAGGTGATGAGACATCACCTTACACCTGTCAGAATGGCTATAATTAACAATACAAAAAATAACAAATGTTGGAGAGGATGTGGAGAAAAGGGAACCCTCATACACTGCTGGTGGGAATGCAAACTGGTGCAGCCACTGTGGAAAACAGTATGGAGATTTCTCAAAAAAATTAAAAATAGAAATACCATATAATTCAGCTATCCAACTACTGGGTATTTATCCAAAAAACATGAAGCTACAATACAAAGAGATTTATGCACCCCTATGTTCATTGCAGCATTATTCACGATAGCCAAAACGTGGAAGCAACCCAAGTTCCCATCAATGGATGAACGGATAAAGATGTGGTTTATATATACAATGGAATACTACTCAGCCATAAAAAAAGACAAAATCGTCCCATTTTGGACCTTATTATGTTAAGCAAAATAAGTGAGACAGAGAAAGACAAATACTGCATGATCTCACTCATATGTGAAAGATAAACACAGGGATAAAGAGAACAGATTAATGGTTACCAGAGAGGAAGGGGTGGGGGCGAAAGGGGTAAAGGGGCACATATGTATGGTGATGGATAAAAACTAGACAATTGGCAGTGAACACAATGCAGTCTATACAGAAACTGATAAATAATAATGTACACCTGAAATTACACAGTGTTATAAACCAATATGACCTCAATAAAATAATTGGAAAAAAAAAAGAGAAGAAAACAGGCTGTTGGGATTTTGATCGGGATTGCATTGGATCTGTAGATCACTTTGGGTAGTGTTGCAATCTTAACAACATTAAATCTTCCAATCCATGAAAAAAACTAAAAAATAAAAAAAACAGTGAGTGAGGTGGGGCCCAAAGGGAAGGCTTGGAGGGGAGATAATACTGGGAGCTGCCCTGAATGTAGAGAAGGTGCGCATGGGGCAGACTGTAGGCAGGCACCTCAGGTGTGTGCTGAGCATTGCTGGAGAAGAAAGCCAGGGTGAGAATTTGGAGGGTCCAGAGAATGGGCTAAGAAGTGTGGACTTCATCTTGTGGGCTCTTGATGTATTGTTACCTCATTTAAGCCTTATAACCACCCTGAGAGGATTACAAAAAGAAAAAGAAAATGTATCCCTATTTTACAGATCAGGAAGTTCAGACTGAGGAAGTGAGTGGCTCACAATCCTAAAGTAAGTGGTGGAACCAGGACTGGAAGTCTGAACACAAACCCTGTGCTTTCTCCACTCCAGTTCACAGTGTCCTGACACTACCAGTCCAGTAAACCAAAAGGTAAGTGGTGTTGCCCAGTGCTCACGTCCTCTGAGCCGGGGCCCAGGCAAGCTCAAGGTCCCCCTCCTCAACTCTCAGTCTCGGCCTCCTAGGAACCTGCAGAGGAATCTTCCCATGCCCACCCTTCATACTCTGACTTCTGCGTCTCTTTCCAGCCTTCATTTCCCACCACACCCTACAAACATTCCATGGCTGAACAACCCTCAGATCCTTTCTTCATGCTGTTGGCCATTTGCTCTACCTGAAACACCCACACCCTGTTCTCTCAAACCTGGCTAACTCCTGATGTACTTTCCACACTCACTCAGCTCAAACGTCACTTCCTCCCAGAAGCTTTCTATAACACTCCTCCTTCCCGCTGTGTAATTAGGTCTTCCATCCTCTGTACTTCCAAAACTCCTCATCTACTCTACAATTCTCCATACTGGGTCATATGGTTCATTTTTCCTCATAATTGTAGAGCTATACAGTGGTCACTCAATAAAGGACTGTTGAATGAATGAGTGGAGACCTCTTTTCTGCTCTAAAGCCCTGCTCCTTCCCCTGGCCCTGGGGCCCTCCTCTCCAGCACTCTGCACTGCCTGAGCCAGATCTCTGGTTATCTTCCTTCCTGGCCTGCTGACTCCATCTGGTCTCCACTCTTGGGGGCTCTGCCCTCATCAAAAAGTAAAGCCAGGGCCGGCTCTGTGGCTCAGCGGTTAAGTGCGCGCGCTCCGCTGCTGGCGGCCCGGGTTCGGATCCTGGGCGCGCACCGACGCACCGCTTCTCCAGCCATGCTGAGGCCGCGTCCCACGTACAGCAACTAGAAGGCTGTGCAACTATGACATACAACTATCTACTGGGGCTTTGGGGGAAAAATAAATAAATAAAATCTTTGAAAAAAAAAAAAAGCAAAGCCAGATACAGATGACTTCTAGAACCAGAGGACATTCCCACACCACTCTCCCCACCTTACTGCTCAGAGGGACAGTGAGAGTTAACTAGTCTTTCAGCCTGGAAAGGATGAAGAGAGAAAGAGAGCCTTGGCCCTGGGGGAGGTCACTAGCACCCCCTCCCTGAGTCAATGGCAGCCTCTGACATCAGCAACAGCTGTATGCCCCAGTCCTCCCCACACCACCACCTCCCCCTCACAATGGCCATAATTCTGCACCGGATGGCAACAGCAGGACCTTGAACATTATCTGCATGTCCTGTCCCACAATAACCCCCTCCCCATCACCTCCACTGAGGCACACATGTGCATGAGGGTGCACGTGTACCAAGTAGGGATGGGAGCTGGCCTCCAGCCTTCCCAGCACGCCCTCTGCACCTTCTCTTTTTTCTTGTGTGAGGAAGATCAGCCCTGAGCTAATATCTGATGCCAATCATCCTCTTTTTTTTTCTGAGGAAGACTGGCCCTGAGCTAACATCCATGCCCATCTTCTTCCACTTTATATGGGACACCGCCACAGCATGGCTCGACAAGCAGTGCGTTGGTGCGCGCCCAGGATCCGACCCGGTGAACCCTGGGCCACTGCAGTGGAGCGCACGCACTTACCCACTTGCACCACCGGGCTGGCCCCTGCACCTTCTCTTTCTATGTCTGTGAAAAGCAAAGGGCCCCCGGCATAGGCTGGAGCCTTCACCTTCCATGCTGTCTTCCCTAGGACTCTGCAGGGCTGGAAAGAAAGCCTACAGGCAGGTTTCCTAAGTCAAAGGACATACCTGCGCCCCCAGCAGCTTCCTCAGTTTGTCACCAATAGAGGAGCAAGAGCCTGCTCTGTGCCCTGCCCGGAGCTGAGTGCTGGGGTGCAGGGTGAGAGGGGAAGTGGACATGACATCTGCCTCAGGGAGAAACAGTCCCACAGAAGAAACAAGCAAACATACAAACTGATGACACAAATCAGGACGAGATGGGCCCTTCTAGTGGTACCGACATAAAGGTGTGAGTCAGAGGAACAAGCCATTCCAAAAGGTTGGGGTGCTCAATGGAGGCTTCAAGCAGAGGAGGGGGCCTCAGCTGGCCTCAAGGAATGGGCTGGGGGCCTCTAGGCAGCCACTGCTGAGAGAGGAGCCCAAGACAAGGGCCTCTCTGGGTTGCTGGACCCTTCCCACTGCTTCACCAGGGGTTGAAATGGGGGGTGTGGTACTCACCCTGTCCTATATGGGCTCCAGGCCCCCCACCTGGCTCTGAGCAGGTCCTGTCCCTTTCATCCTTTCTGGAGTGAGGGAGACAATGAGAGCCAGTGGGGACCTGCTACTGCTCCCCACTTGGTAGGCCTTCCCCTGCCTCCATGCAGTGTTGACAGGACACAGAACTCTCTCACACAGGAGACAGGCCCTGGGCCAGGGACAAATTTAGTGTGATTCTCTCTACCTCCAATAGTCTTGCCCAGTGAATCTGGCTTAAAAGCAACCTCAAGGTCAACCTTAAAGGGAAAAGATTTTGTCAGAGACCAGCATGCAGGCTGGAGGGGATCTCCCTCACTGGATCTGGGTGATAGTGTGGGAACTGCAGACCAGACTCAGCCGCCTCATCAGTCCCTGTTTAGAACACAGGGCGCCCAAAGTACAAAGACTGGAGTGAGCACCCCAATACCCTGTCTTTTCAACCTTCCAGCTCATGCCAAGCCCTGTAGTGCATCCTGCCCAGCTGAGGTTACTCAGGGAAATTGTGAGGAAGGGTGTGGGACGCAGCCAGGCCCAGGGCCCCTTTATGTCTCTGACCAGTTCTACCCTCTGCTTAAAGATCTTTCAGGACTCAGCCCTGAGGGATCACCTTTGCTCCAGCACAAACCCCTAAGAAGGGAACTGACTCCGAATAGGGCTTTGGTAAAGGCTGTTTATATAAATGGATGAGTAAAAAACTGAACAGAACAACTGAACACCAACCGTCTGGGGGCTGCAGAAGGAACCGTGTAAAGATGGACTGAAGGTCAGAGGACTTGTGTTGTTGTCTCAGCCCAGCCACTGACCAGCTGTTTGACCTTGAACCGGTCATCTCCACTCTGGACTTCAGGCTCCTCATCCAGGGGCTGGAGGGGCTCCACCAGCTCTGACTCGCTAAGTTCTCTTAGCAGACACCCTGGGCACTCCCAGGGCACTGCTTCTCAAAGCATAGTGTGCAGTTCACAGAACACCTGCACGGCAATCACCTGGGAATTTTTTTTAATGCAGGTTTCAGAGCCTCAATTCTAGACCTGGTAAACCTGGAGTTTCTTTTTTTTTTTTTTATTTTGGTGAGGAAGATCAGCCCTGAGCTAATATCTATGCCAATCCTCCTCCTTTTGCTGAGGAAGACCGGCCCTAGGCTAACATCCATGCCTATCTTCCTCCACTTTATATGGGATGCCGCCACAACACGGCTTGACAAGCGGTGCATCGGTGCATGCCCGGGATCCGAACCCGGGCCACCAGCAGCGGAGTGCGCGTACTTAACCACTACGCCATGGGGCCGGCCCCAAACCTGGAGTTTCTAAGGATCGGGGCTAGAAATCTGCATTTTAGGCATTACTCACGTGGTATTTGAGAACCACTGTCGGATGGTGCCTGCTTTCTTCTAAACTGCCTTGACCTCAGCTGCTGCTTTCTCTCCTTTCCATCTTCCCATGTCTGGCACCAACCTCCCCCCTCCCCTGCCACGTTTCCCACAAATGGCCAAAGCTGCAGTGAGGCAATCCCTCTATCCTTGACCCCTTCCTTTGTACAGTGAGTGATGGCTCTTTTATCTCTTGATGATGAAGCACAGCCTTCAGCTGGGGCATTTAAGACGCAGAACACACGGTTGCAGCCACAGCTGCAGGAGCCAGAGGCAGACCTTGACAGGCTCAGGAAGTCTGGAAGAAGCCACCCTCAAGAGCAGAGGCGGCAACAGCAACAGCAGCAGCACCACTCCATCTGCCCCCGCTGCCAGGAAACAATGCTCCTCGCGACGTTTAAGCTGTGTGCTGGCAGCTCCTACAGACATGTGCGCAACATGAAGGGTGAGTTCCCCGGGAAAGGGGGGTTCCGGGTGGTGGCCAGAAGCTCTCAGGCAATGAGGCTTAGTGGGGCAAGTACTGGACTGGGGGGCAGGCCACTTAGGTTCTCATCTCAGTTGTGCCTCTTACTGGGTGAGTCTGTGCAAGTGTCTTCCCTTCAGAACCTCAATTTTCCCACCTGAAGAATTGGGCTGGATACTAAAAAGTCTATGTCCCTTCTAGATTCTGTAATTTCTGGTCTCCTCTCCAGGGCTCCAATCTTTCTTAAACTATTCCTGACTCCCTTCCTCTAGGATTGGTACCAACGGTACTAGGAAAGTCCTAGCCAGTGGTAGAGGTAGGAGTAAGCCTTGACTCCAATAAGCAGTGTTGGCAAGCCTGAGACAGGGGCAGGGAAGAGAAGGGGAGAAGAAAAACAAAGGGGAGCCAGACAGCAGAAGAGCAAGGTAGTGAGAGAGTGGACGGAGCAGGGGGTCTTGTTATCACTGTAGAGTCAGGAGGTGGAAACATTACTGAAGGCCACTTTGGTAGAGCTGATCAGGACCCAAGGTCATTTGAGTCAGTTCCCTGTTGTCATTGAAGGATTCACAAACCAACCTAACCAAGTCCTTTCCAATTACAGTAGGTTGAATTAGCCCCGGCAGTGCGGCTGTTCTCACTAGATCAACAAGACTCACCGAGCTCAGACTCCGGGGGCACACTGAGCAGTTCCTCATGCAAAGGACCCTAGCTGCTGGCAGCTACACAGACCTCAGGGGATGGGTGTTTTTAATTCTCCTGTAGCAGGATTATTCTCGTTGTTTGAACAAACCTCTCCATTTCAAGAAGGAAACTTCAGCAGGCTCTGGTGCAGCCCCTGCCTCCAGGCAGGACCAGGCCTGGCCAGCCCAGATGAAAGGCAGATTCTGGCCCTGGAGGCACGTGGTGCATTGTAATGAGCACTGGACTGGGAGTTGACCTGGCTCTAGTTCAGGTCCCTACTAGGAATCTGTGTGTTCCTGAGTAAGCAGTTTCCTCATCTGTGACAAGATAAAGGGGTGGAATGGGCCATCTCTAAAGGGCTTTCTTGGCTCCTAAGCAAGTTTCCTCCCCTCCCGTCAGGGCTGAGGCACCAAGCTGTGCTGGCCATTGGCCAGGAGCTGAACCGGATGGCACTGGGGGGCCCGACCCCAAGTGGGTGGATCAACCAGGTTCGGCGTCAGAGCTCTCTGCTTGGTAAGTGCTGAGGCTTCTGGGCTTCTGCCAGTGGCAGGAGGCTCCCGGGGTGCAAACGCTGTGCATGTGGCTCAAGTTCCCTCCCCCACCCCACCCCACCCTGGCCTTTCTCACTCACTTTGAGGATGGGAATGGAGTCCCTCAAGGCGAGATCCCCTCCCTGTCACCTGCAGCTGTTGTGTCTAACTTGACCTGCAGGCTGGACCCTATGGCTTTGGTCTTGGCTCTTCAGAGGAAAGAGCAGATGCAGAGATCAAAAGGATAAAAGCTGGTGGGAGGCTTGGGGACCAGAAGGAAGCTGGGTCTCTCCTTGGCTGTGTATCCAGGTTCTCGGCTAGAAGACACTCTCTACAGCGACCAGGAGCTGGCCTATATCCAGCAGGGAGAGGAGGCCATGCAGAAGGCTCTGGGCATCCTCAGCAACCAGGAGGGCTGGAAGAAGGAGAACCAGCAGGTAAGGGTGAGTGTAGAGGAACTGCCATTCCTCACCGTTCCACTGCCATCCTCAAGGCCAGCTGTGGTCTCAGAATTCCTGCCTTGTGCAGTACTCACCCGGCAGCAAGTAGTTTTAACTCAAGAATTCTCCTTTCCCAAGAATATATTGTCAGATACTGCCCCCATCAAAGACATCTTGGAAACTCGCGTTTGAGAAACCTCCAAGCATTGTACACCTATTCAGCAGAAGCCATGCAATGGGGATTCCGCCTGCATTAGAGGCCTCATCACCCTGGGTCAGAAGTCCCAGTGTCAAGGTGCAGTGTCTGTGCTGTTCAGCCCACCTTATGGCTGATTTGCAGGGGTGATCCAGGCTCACCTGCAACAGGGCTGGACTAGAATACAGATGGCCCAAGGCCTTCTGGGGCTCTCTACTCCTGAGCACTGCACCTTCACTGGGAACCAGTAACAAGGCACATGTTAAAGGCCAGTGGCTCTATTGAGACTTTGGTGGCTTAATCTTCACCAAAAGCTTACATGCTGCCCATTGCCCAAAGTTTAGGTAAAACTTCTCCAAGTTCTCAGTTAACAGACTACTGGTTTGGGAGTCGAGAAATGTGGGGTCTAGGCCCAGCAATGCTCTTAGCTAAGGGTCTCTGGGCAAATCACTGACCTTCTCTGGTCCTACATCCTTCTTGTGTAAAACGAGGTATTGGACTAAAGAAGTCTTTTAAGATCCCATCCAACATTCTATGGATGTAATTAACTGCTTGTAGACCAGACTTTTCCCACTCCCAGGTTTGTCTCTCTCAGGATCTTTGAGCTTCTGAAGTCAAGTAAGTGCCTTTTCAGTTGGACCTACCCACACCCATCAACATTTACTCCCAAGAAAAGAGGGTCCAGGGAGCACACAGGTTACCTCTCAAGTCTTCACAGATGTCTGAGGCTTGTGACAGGAAAGATTACCTACTCCAAGTTTTTTTGTGTGTGTGAGGGAGATCAGCCCTGAGCTAACATCTGCCAATCCTCCTCTTTTGCTGAGGAAGACTGGCCCTGGGCTAACATCCGGCCGATCTTCCTCCACTTTATGTGGCTCGCCGCCACAGCATGGCCTGACATGCGGTGCGTCGGTGCGCGCCTGGGATCCGAACCCGGGCCCCCAGCAGCAGAGCACGTGCACATAACTGCTACACCACGGGGCCGGCCCCCTACCTACTCCATCTTAATCAGAAATAGTTCCAGGCTTCCTTATGCTTAGCTTAGAGTTCCTTTTGCTGTTCCCCTTCCTGCCTTGCCTGGCATTGTCTACATGCCCTAGGCCAGGAATATTTTTCTCTAACCTTTATCCTGGAGCTCCTTGCTCTCCCTGATAGGCAAATGGGGACAAAGTGCTGAGTAAAGTGGTTCCAGACGTGGGCAAGGTATTCCGGTTGGAGGTGGTGGTGGACCAGCCTGTGGAGAGGCTTTATGAAGAGCTTGTGGAACACATGGAGGCCATGGGAGAGTGGAACCCAAATGTCAAGGAGATCAAGGTGAGGCGAGTCCAGGTGTGGGTGGCAGGGACCCAAGGGCCCAGCCTGAAAAGGCGGGCCAAAGATGGGGCTGCAAGCCGTGGGTGGTGCCTTAGCCCCAACACTGGCTGAGCAGTGATTCTGGTTCCCTGTGGCCTGGTAGGTCCTGCAGAAGATTGGAAAGGATACAGTCATCACCCATGAGTTGGCTGCAGAATCAGCAGGAAACCTTGTGGGGCCCCGTGACTTTGTGAGTGTGCGCTGTGCCAAGCGCCGAGGCTCCACCTGTGTGTTGGCTGGCATGGCCACACATTTCGGGGAGATGCCTGAGCAGAAAGGTGTCATCAGGTAATACTGGCAGCAGGCTCAAGAGCTCCCTTTCCTAACACAGGCCTTTGGGCATGCACCCACCAAGTGTGTGATGAATCCCCAGCTCCAAGAAACCAATCCTTGGTCCCTACCCTCAGCTTCCTTCTACCAAGGAAGATTCTCATTTTCCATAGCAGGGGAGGGAGACAAGATTGGCCCTACTTATACTGGCCCAGTTTGTCCTGACCCTCCCAGAAAGTTTAAGAACCTTAATAATTTTCTAAAACAAGAGGTAGGGCTGAGGTTTAGCTGGTATGCTCAGGTACGACTCTACTGTTGATTAAAATATAATCCATACCACTTAGAACATAGCTGCTACCTGAGTTTCCCAGGGGCCCTAGCCACTACCTTGGACCCTTTCCCCACTCTCCCAGTCATCCAGCAACTAAAAGGCACCACAGGAAGCCTCCAGGTTCCAGCTCCAGCTCCATCCAGCATTTGTTCTAATGAGCTGGTAACCACACTAACTGTTAAATATCACCCTTGGCAAAGGATACTTCTCTGATGAGATTTGGAAAAGACAAGGTACTTGAGAAACGTGGCCAGTATAACTAGTCAGCATAAAAGAGAACTCTCAATTGTCCTCCTGACCCGACTACTTCTCTTAATTTGCCAGAGCCGAGCAGGGTCCCACTTGTATGGTGCTCCGTCCCCTGGATGGAAGTCCCTCAAAGACCAAACTCACTTGGCTGCTCAGCATTGACCTCAAGGTGAGGGGCATGGGAGGTAGCTCAGTGGGTAGGCAGTGGTGAGAAAAAGAGGCTCCTACCCCTCCCACATTATCCCACACAGAACAAGAAAAATCCTCTTCCATTTTGAGAGAATCAGACTGTTGGAGAGGAAAGAGACTTAAGTTAATGGTCTAATTGCTATTCCATCACCTCAAAAGACTGCAAATGGCTCCCTCTTACCTCTCATATCAAATTTCAACTCTGTAGTTATCGTTTTAGAAAGGAAACTTAGGCCCAAAAAGATAGGGTAACTAGCTCAGGGTCACACAGCTGGGAAGAGATGGCTGAAATTTGTCTTGACAACAGGGCAGTAATGCAGCCCTTGACCCTGGTCAACTGCAAGGTTGCACCTATAAACAGAGCCAGAAGACCAAGCCCTAGGCAGCCCGTAGTGTTTGTGATAGGGTACAGAGGTGTCTAGAGTGGAACATCACCCACAAGATGGCCAAATTCTTCTATCTTCTACTCTAGGGATGGCTGCCAAAGACTATCATCAACCAGGTCCTATCACAGACCCAGGTGGATTTTGCCAACCATCTGCGAAAGCGCCTGGAGTCCAGCCCTGCTCCTGAAGCCAGGTGTTAAAGACCAGCTTGCTGCTCCCAACTCTTCCTAGCTGCACTGGCTTGCAAGCTCATCAGGAAAATCCCTCCTAGAAGCCTGCAAGTCTGTTTAAGATCTTTATCTGAGGACAGTGCGATGAAGTGGTAGTGTATTTAGAGTATGATACTAGGACTCAGACTGGTAACATTTTAGTACCAAGAAAATGTGGACAAGGCTCTTAAAGAGAAAGAGCCTTCCAGCTTCTTCACTGATTAGCTGTGAAATGAAGGTTAAGGGTCCCAAAATATTTGTAAAACTTTTTCTGGGCCTAACGTCTACCTAAAAACATCTTAAAAATGCTACTAACTGATATAGGGTGCAGAGGGTGCGAAATACAAAGACTGGAACCTCACGCTTTATGGGCTCAAGAGCTCCATTCCCTGCAGGCAGTGTGTGTGGACATTCAGGGTCTTACAGAGGGGCTCCAGCAACCCTCTGCTCCTCCACCAAGTAGGAAGAGAACTGCACCAGAGAGTAAGCAACCCCCACAGTAGGTACCTGCCAGAAACTTAGTCCAGGTTTTCTTGACAAAAAAATACAAAACTAATTATTAGACTGGTTCCCCTACTTCTTCCATGAGCAACAGTCAGAATAAAGAATCATAATTAACACAAAAACTTCAGTCTGTACCTCTTTCAAAATTCTACTCCTAGGAAAAAAAAATCTATTCTAGTAAATTGCAACTTCATACTAAAGGAGTCCTGGGCAAAGATTTTAATTAGTTAAATAAACTAAATCCCCTAGCTCATTAAAAGGAAAAACTATTGAGGACTTATGTCATTCAATTATTTGGAATCTGTTACCAGAATCTTTCATAAAAATTTAATTTCCATGATAAGCACAAGCCTAAATCAGTTCTTGAGTTCTCTATAACTGTTAGCTGATTAATGGGCATTGAAAAATGAAGATTATGACTGAGGACTTTTATTTACCTAATTAAAAGGACAGTCCCAAATATGAGAGAATGAACGGTATTACTAAGATAAAATTAAACAAAAACAAATTTTATTATTTTCCCATTCGTGATTGTTTAGACCTAAAAATGGAACTGAGTCTTTAGTTCAGAGTTACTGCATCAGCTTTCAGCGTGGCTCGGGCTGCCAATTTCTCTGCTTTAACAGGTCAGCATTTTACTATTTTGAGAGGAGATGGCTAGAAGGGGTAATACAGTGTTAGCAAATTCCCTTTCCAAGATACAGAGAAATTTTGCTTAAAAATATAAATTGGGATGGGATTATTTTGCTAAAATGTATAACTAGGATGAAAAACCAACATTACCACTTGAAGCTTTTCCATTCTAGTTCTAATAGCATTGATGATTTATATCATTTGGAAACAGAGCTCTAGCTTATTTATTAAATTAGCAGTATGGGAATGCTCATATTTATTGAAGTATTGAAATTTTACAACTGATAGAGGTATTTATTATCATTATTTATTCTGATTGTTTCTTAGTCTATTTTTGGCATAGAAGAAACTGGTTATCTATCCAGGAGCTTCATAGTGAGAGAAGATAGCTGTAGTAGTATTTCTAGAACAGAATTATCATCCACTCCCAGCTAAGAGAAATGGTTACTTGTTTAAAGACGTATAAAGCAATATATACTCTGGTTTCTTTTTTTTTTTTTAATTTTATTTATTTATTTTTCCCCCCAAAGCCCCAGTAGATAGTTGTATGTCATAGCTGCACATCCTTCTAGTTGTGTATGTGGGACACGGCCTCAGCATGGCCAGAGAAGTGGTGCGTTGGTGTGCGCCGGGGATCTGAACCCGGGCCGCCGGCAGCGGAGCGCGAGCACTTAACCGCTAAGCCACGGGGCCGGCCCGATATACTCTGGTTTCAAAAGAGAACAGGCTGATAGCAAAGAAATGGGTTTTCAAAACACACTATGGTTTTGAGCTCGATTATAATTTGCCTTCTTCAAACTACACAACTGTCTTTGAGGTGACTGGGGAGATGTTGTCCCACTTATTTAATTTCACATTGGAACAAAATAAGTTGCCAGTGATGATCTGCCTAAAGAAACCATTTTATACAGGACTGTATGAAGAGTGGGTATTCTTTGAGCCCTTCAAATGAACCTTCTCAAAATACACACACACTTCGAATATGAAGTATAAAGAGGCAAAATCATTATTTCTGTAACTTCTGATTTATGAAAGCCAAATGTACAAAAACCTAATTTTATCATTCAAATGAAGAGTGGGTGTACAACTTACATATGTGGTAATTTATATTACAAAGAATTTACCTCCAGCTTCCTCTAAATAACACCACCCTCATTTTCTTAGAGTTCTTCAAACTCTGATGATCCAAAAGCTTTATAACCAAGTCTGCCCTTTAAGACCAGAAACGAATGAATAGGCGTCCAGGGGTGACAGGTAGAGACTTCAGCCTACGATCATACTGATTCTGTTAGATTTCCTGTTAAGAGATGTGGAATGGCCAAAACAAAGAACCTGGGTGATTCATTAAGAGACAAATATATTAGTCAAAGCTACTGTGTTAAGATACCAATAGTCACTTTAAATTTGGGAAATTTCTTAAACACACATAATATATGGTGATTCTTGGCAACATTTAACCTACCTCGAGGTGAACCACTCTACCTATTAACCTAGGCAGAAAGTTATATGCAGGGAAGTCTCTGGGGCGATCCTGGGAGGGCGGCATAGCCACTGATGTATTAAAAAGGGAGATACGGAAGCCACAAAGAGATCTCAAGGGAAGGCTCATTATCACATCCCAGTTTTGAGTATTCTGAAAACTGCCCTTTAATCATCAGCTATTACAAAGGAAGATAAGCAAGGCAGGAAAACAACCTGCACATATCAACATACATATTCAAAGGAAAAGCAGGAGGGAGACTCTTAAACTCCTGTTCACCTCCTTGAGAGTCCGATCTTCACAGGATAATGAGGGTGGTTGAGTTGGCTGGAGACAATGGAAGCAATAGGAGAGGGGTTGAGATATGAGTCAGAACTCTGTCTCTTTCCTCCAATGCTGGCTCCCTGTCCTCAGATTGCCCACATTTCTGACACTGTCACCAAGAAAGGTGACACCAACTGCAACCTGAAAGGGAAGCAAAGTGCCACACACACTTGAAGACAAGTTTTATTTGGGAAGAGTTTCTAATTGTTAAAGCTGCAAGGAAATTCCTTTCAAATTAGAACAGTTCTAGAGACCTAGTAGTTTCAGAGATCCCAGTGTTCAAAAGTATATTTCAAAATTAATAACAAAAACAAATCCACACCAAAGGAAAAAGCTTTTAGACTGGTTTGGAATGTACAGCCATTGATTTCAGTTGTTCTCAGAAACAGGCCCACCACTTTCTTAGAAATCAGGTGGGATGGACTCAACGCTCAAAGAAGGAAATGTCTTTAAATAAGTTAGCTACTTGGACAAGATTGTTTCACTCCTTAGAAAGTACAGTAAGGTAACAAGTCCCAGTTGGTGGGGTACGTGGTAAAGCACCAGTTTCACAAAGAGCTTATGGGATCCTAGGGTCAGCAGTTGTTGGCATATGGCACACAAAATAAAAGCAGTCACCAGGAGTGGGGAGAGTGTGGAAGGGCAGGGAGTCTGTTCCAGTCCCACCCAGCCTTTCAACTTGCTAACAGCAGAGGCTGTGTTCTACAGTATCTTCGGGAGAACATTTGCAACAGTTAAAAAACCACACCAATCCCCTCACCCCAGGATTATTCCCCAGAAAGTCCACATATGCAAAGAAAGAGGGACCTGGTCAGGGTTCCCATGGGGGACTCCGCCTCCCATCCACTTCTGTTTCCACATGATATAAGACATCAGCCAGAGTATGTTCTACCACAGCACCCCAGCCCATGTCACTCATCTGTGGGAGAAACAAGAAACAGAAATGAATGATTAGAATAACTACAGCGAGAAGTAACAAATATACTGAGGATGCATGGGGGACATTTGGAATGTTACTCACAGGGCGATAAGTGAGATCCTTTGGAGGATACTTGAAGCACGGTCCAAAGTTAATGGAAACCTGGGATAAATTCAATTCAAGCGCACATGAAAAAACAGAAGAAAATAGTAAAAAAGTTAATGTGACATGGGAAATTTTTCTCTTTAAATGTAGCTGTGATATTCAGGATATAACTGGAACAAATGATATATACTAATATTGTTAAAAGTCAACACTCTAATGTCCATCAAGAATTAGACAAATAAAATAGACTTGTGTTGATTTCTGTTTATAACCTAAAGGTTTCCTTATTTTACTTTGATGGTGGCTACTGACAGACGAAAAATACATGGAAACTTTTTTTTTTAATAAGTTAAAAAAAAAAATCTAACAGGCTGTAATGTAGTCCCCTTCATGCTGGATCATATTTTTTTAAAAAACCAGTATATAAGCAACAGTTACTAAGTAATGATGGTAGGTTATCATGACATATAACACCAAACTGATTTATGCAAGTATACACTTCATATCCTTTACACTGAATAATAACATTTACCACACAGTACGTTCAAAGGAGAAGTGTGGGGCACACTAATTGCACAATCTTTATCTATCAGAGCAAATACTTCCCACAACACCCAACTGTTTTTGGAACAAACAGTAACAGTAGGAACACATTCCTGTCTCACTCTAAGGCTCTTCAGATTTCTTTCTAGAACTCAGTTGATGCCCTTTTGTCATAACCATTCACCTGTTTCCCTCAAGTTCTGTTCACAGGATGAAGAGATGATACATACCGTGCAGCTCTTGTACAGTGAGATGGCTGGAAAGTAAACCCCCTCAAAAATATCTTTGTAAGCCACACCTTGATTGACACCATTTTTATAAAATATTATCTGAAACAAAAACCATGGTTTTACTTCAGAATTTAAAAGCAGAACAAACTACAAAAGAACTCACTTGGAGAAGGCTTTGGAAGTGCTACCACCATGCTGGTAGTAATGTATTCCAAGAATAGCATATAGCTTGTGTAATAACAACATCTTACATTTATATAACACTTTAGATTAAGAGCATCTTTACATGCACTATTCTAGCTGGTCTTCAGGTTTATTTGCTTTCTGAATTCCTATGCTACTTATACCAAACAGTTCTACTTTCTATTATCATTATATTGTATTTATAAAAAGTAATCTGGTCTTCCACTGATTCCTTGGAACTATAACCTTCTAAGCTTATTTATTTATTTGTCCTCTTCCCTTGCATCATGTTACTTCTGCATTTCTACTTTGAAAATCTCTTAGGATCTTCTGTCAAAATCTCTGAATCCTCACTTTCTTTGTCCTTTCTCTTGCAACTATCCTGAATATTCTCTCTTAACCACTATATATGGACTTTAGAAAAGGCTCCTTCTTTTGAAGTAACTTTCTCTGCCTCTTCTTCCTAGCAGAGGCTATATTTTTGGCTGTATCATCCATCCTTTCTGGCTGTATCATCCTCAGATCTATTAACTGTTACCTTTACTATTTTCTTCCTAAAAACAACTGGAACCCTAGTTTAGTTCTCCTACATTCGCTTCTATTACTGTCCCAGGTGGATTCACAGCATTTTTATGGAAAAATGTTTCCAGCTCAGAACTTTTCTCCATACCATCCCCTTCTATTTTTTGGCCCTTGTGGCTGGTCCAAATGTGCCAGTTCTTCTTTGTGCTATGTCCAACAATCCTGGAAAAGGGAGGTAAGGAAATTTCTAGAGGACACTGAATGAGCCATTATAGCTCCTGCTGCCTTCAGGTCACATAGCAAGGTCCCCTCCTCTCCTATTTCAGTGTTGCTCTCTCTGTACTTGATATCTCCTCTAATAAAGAATAAATATCTCTGACTTGCTTCCTCAATTGCTTGTAGATTTCCTTATTAGGCCCCAGTTTTTACCATTTTCTCTATAGAGTGTTCCTGAAAGAACCCTGGTCCTCTCTCTTGGTACCACAGAAAGACCTCAAACACAGAAGGCAGGAGAGGGAGCTTACTCTGCTGCCGGCTAGCTAAAAATCTCTTCATTCCCCTTTGGGCTTCATTCTTCTCACTTTTGTAATTAGGGGGTTGGTCCCAATCTTCAAGTTCTTCTAGTTCTGACATTTTTATGACCATGACTCACCTCACTATGGGGAGTCTGCTTTAGGCTCTTCTCTGCTTTATCCACAAAGTCTTTTTCCTCAAAATACAAATAACTCTTGAACTTTATCAAAGCCTTGAAAACCGAGAGAGAGAAAGAAAGGAAAAAAAAACATTGAAGCATCAGCTACATCATCATGGAAAAAAAAGACAGATTCACACAAATAGCACTGAGTCCTTGTGTTTTGCAACAGAAATTTAAAATCTTTACAGTTGGCTTTATTAGATTTTGAATAACTATGTGCTTCTTAAAAAGTACCAGATGGTACATGTTTATTAAACATTTTCAAAAGAGGCCTTTACTAAGACTATTTGTGAGGAAACACATACATATAAATACATATACACTCTCAACACAACAAAAACCCACAGAGGTGGGTAAACTTAATTCATAGATTTTTTTCCCTCAATAATCTCAGTGAAAGAAATGAAAAGTTTACTGAGCCTAAAATTCCCTATTCTATAAAAACATTTTGAGGGCCACTTCCTTCCCTCCTAGTCCTCTACCTGTTTCTCCTACAGGTGATCTCTGGGTCACCCCTTTCCTGATAGTTCCCAAGAGTCTGTTTAACCTTCCACTCCCAGATAAATATATGACATTAATTTTTTAAAATTTGAATTTCTTAGCACATACATATATTAAGCATGGTAAAAAAAAAAATCAAACGCTAGAGAAGAACATAAAGAGTATTTCTTCTCTCCTCTCACCATCTCTCTCAACACTCAGTTTCCCTTTGCAATCACTGTTCTGCGTCCTGGTACCCTTTTAGAAAGTCTAGGCATATATTAAATCTTCAAAATTGAAGAACACACACACAAAGAAAAAAACACAAACCAGACAAAAACACAAAGAAAGAAGCAGAAAAGGCATACAAATGATAGCACATTATACATTCTGTTTTACATCTTGAGCTTTTCACTCAACATTATACATTGGAGATCATTTTATATCAGCATATATGGAGCTTTTGAACAGATTCATAGTATTCTGCTGTATGAACATATTATTCCCAAATTGCTTATTCAAATTAAAAACAAATTTTTATAATACAAATGAAAAAGTAAATAATTTTAAAGACTCCTATAGTATCTTTTGACATAAGTGCAGACCTCTGTTTTTGGTAAAACCAGGCACTAATGTGGTGTACACTTAAGGGTTCTAGACGGCAGGAAGAGCAATGAGAGTCCACAGTGTGATGCAGCCAATAAGATGGGATCTTAGGCTGCTTTTTATCAGAACAGACTTGGAGGATCTACACTACCCAATGTAAAGACATACTCTAGAGCTACAATAATCGAGACAGTGTGGGACCGGCACAAGGGTCAACAAAGAAATCAGTGGAATAGAGAGCCCAGAAACAAACCTCTACTCACACAGTCATTTGATTTTCACAAAAGGCACCAAAGAAATGAGGAAAGTTTTCAAAAAATGGTGCTAGAATATTGGATATCTGTGTGGGGAAAAAAAAATTAACCTTGACCCCTACTTCACACCATACACAAAAATTAATTCAAGTGAATCAGGGACCTAAATATAAAAGCTAAAATGATAAGATTTTCAAAGGAAAACATGGGAGAATATCTTGATGATTTGGAGGTAGGCAAAGATTTATTAACCCATAAAAAGCACTATAACTGTCAAAGAAAAATTTTATAGCATTCATAAAAATTAAAAACTTCAGTTCATCAGAAGACACCATTAAGAAAATGAATAGATAAGTCACAGACTAGGAGAAAAATATTTTTTAAAAAGCCATTTCTAACAAAGGACTTTAATCCAGAATATATAAAGAACTATAACTCAATAAAAAGATAACCTAATTTTTTAAAAAGGCAAAATATTTGAACAGAAACTTCACAAAAGAAGATAGGTGAAGGGCCAATAAGCACATGAAAAACTGCTCAGTACCATCAGTTATCAAAGAAATGCTAATCTGAACCATAATGAGATACTACTACACCCCCACCAAAATGGCTAAAATTAAGTTGACAGACAGCAACAAATGTTGACAAGAACGTGGAGTAACTAAAATTCTCACATTGTTAGTGGGAATGGAAGAGTCTGGCAATTTCTTTTCTTTCCTTTTTTTTTTTTTTTGCTGAGGGAGATTTGCCCTGAGCTAATATCTGCTGCCAATCTTCCTCTTTTTGTATGTGAGCCGCTGACACAGCAAAGCCATTGACAGACGAGTGGTGTAGGTCCGTGCCCAGGAACCGAACCCAGGCCACCACAGTGGAACATGTCAAATTTAACCACTAGACTACCAGGGCTGGCCCTGACAGTTTCTTATAAAACTAAATATATAACTACTCTATGATCCAGTAATTCCATTTCTAGGTACTGACCCAAAAGAAATGAAAATATGTTTACAAAAAGATTTGTAGAGGAATGTTCATAGCAACTTTATTGCTTTATCCCAGACTTGAAACAGCGTAAGTGTCTATCAATAGGAAAATGGATAGTTATATGTCAATTATATGTCAATAAAGCTGGAAACAAAATGAAAATGGATAAACACACTGTGGTATATTCATACAATGGAATACTACTCTGCAGTAAAAAGGAATGAACTACAGGTATGTGCAACAACGTGGATGGATCTCAAAAGCATTACGCCAAACGATAAAAGCCAGATACGAAAAACTACATGTTGCATGCTTCCACCTATATTAGTCCAAGAACAAGCAAAACTAATGGAATAGAATTGTGATGGGGGGGCGGAATTCAAAACAGTGGTAGCCTCTATGGAGGTGTGAGTTGGGATTGACTGAGAAACAGTATGAGGGAACTTCCTGGGTAATAAGATTCTACATCTCAACAGTGGTTTGGATCAAACTCAAAACTCAGTGAATATACACTTAAAATCTGTAAATTTCATTTTATGTAAATTTTATATCAAAAGAAAAAATTGACAAAGGTTGAACTCCAGCTAATGATATGTATCCTGAAGTACTTGGGGGGTGGTGCGGGGGGGAGTGTACTGATGGCTGCAGTATTCTCTGAAGTGCATTAAAAAAAGATGAATGAATGGATGGGTGGGTGGAGGAATGAATGGATAACATGTTAATGGTAGAATCTAACTGATGGGCATCTGGACACTTTAAAATTCTTTCAACTTTGTTATCTCTGAAAATTTTTTCATAATGAAATGTTGGAAAAAACATGAATGGTGGTCAGCATCACAAGAGAAGACACAGGCCACAGGTGCAGGCACTGGCTGCCACAAGTCTCCAAACCCAGGACTTGCTTGGGAGGACAAACTCACCTTATCTTTGTAAGTATCGGGTAGTGACTTGGCTGTCTCTGTATCTTCAGGAAGATTGATATAAAATCCCAGGACGTCTCCCTGTCCATAGCCAGAAGAGTAGTGTTTGCCAATGGACTGGTGGAACTTGGTTCCCTTTTTGCTCCGCCAAGAATAGCTAAATTTATCATAACCTAAGGGAGCTTGAAGGTTACCTGTCCCAATAGAAAAATACACAGGAAATCAGAGGACTGCAAGCCAACTCTGGTTTGCAAAGGAAAAGATTCTACTCCTTTTTATTTGTATTTTTTTGGTTAATTTTGTAAAATTGTTAACAATTTCTCACAAGCAAAGAATTATAAAAATATTCCTAGGAATTGCAAACCACCTAAATCCTCAGGAGTTGAATTTTATGCCCACAATCCGATGAGCCCCAAAGTCATGAAGCTTAGCCAGATGCTCTATGCCTCTCCACCCACTGCAAAGTCCATGTTACAGCTCCAGCTTACCTAACGGCTGGGACCAACCCAGTCTGGCAGCAGTGTCCGGCGGCATCTCATCCACTGTGATTTCGAAGTACCAGGCACCTTTCCGTACCCCATGAGAAGCCCGAACCATGGAGTAGCCCTTCTCTCCAACCACGGTCAGCCGGTCATCAGAGATCTTTAACTGGGGAGCTGTGGTGATGGAGATTAAAACAAAGGCCTGCAACTTATCTGAGGTACTTGGAGACAACTGTCACAAAACCATGAGTCTCTTACACTCCAATAAAACAAAATAAAAAACAGAAAGATCAGGTCAGGAATTTAGTTCAGGAGTTTAAAAATCTCAACATAAGATACAGATGAAGAAGGAGAAAGAAAAAGGAAGAAAGCTATTAGGTAATCTAATTTTTATTAAATGTGATTATATTTAAGATGATAGGTTAAAATTAATTATACTGTTTATTCCCTAAAATACAATGAAACAATTGTAATGTGTTCGGGTTCCAGTATGAATAAACCATCCATTAAAAGACTTTTATTTTGAAGGAATTTCAGACTTTCAAAAATAGTCGAGTCCTCATACGCCCATCACTCAGCTTTCCGAAATGTTAACACCATTCATACCCATAATATAATCAGCAAAACCAGAAAATTAACATTGATACAATACTATTAACTAATCTATACATCATCTTCAAATTAAGCCAAATATCCAAATAATATCCTTTTTCTGTTCCAGGATCTAATCCAAGATCCCACATTTCATTTAGTTGTCATGTCTCCTTAGTCTCTTCCAATCTGGGACAGTTCCTCAAGTCTTTCATGACCTTGACATTTTGAAGAGTACTGGTCACTTCAGCTTATAGAATGTCTCTTAATGAGGTTTGTCTGATGTTTCCTCCTGGTTAAGTCTAGGTTATGCTTTTCTGTCAGGAACACCACTGAAGTAATGCTGTGCCTCTCAGTGTATCATATGACGTGACATCAAAATGATAACATGAAACTTGGATCACTTGTTTAGGGTGGTGCCGTCATTATAAAATTACTCCTTCATTATAAAATTACTATTTTCCCTTTGTAATTACTAAGTATTTTGTGGGGAGATAAAAAGGCTGGGCTGGCCTGGTGGCTTTGTGGTTAAGTTTGCGCACTCCGCTTCAGCAGCCCGGGGTTTGCAGGTTTGGATCCTGGGCACGGCCCTATGCACCACTTATCAAGCCATGCTGTGGCAGGCATCCCACATACAAAGTAGAGGAAGATGGGCACGGATGTTAGGCCATGGTCAATCTTCCTCAGCAAAAAGAGGATCAGCAATAGATGTTAGCTCAGGGCTAATCTTCCTCACCAAAAAACAGATATTTGAGACAATCAAGGAAATCTGATTATGGACTGAAATGAGATGATAGTAAGGAATTACCTATTTTGTTAAGTGTGATAAGAGCATTGTGGTTATAAAATAAAATAGCCACACTTTTTAGAAATACTTATTTTTTAGACTATATAGGGTGAGATTTACTTCTTGAAAATTCAGAAAAAAAAGAGAGACAAAGAAATAAAGGAACAGGTAAAGCAAACATGGCACAATCTTGATAATTGTTAAATCTGGGTAAAAAGTATATGCAGATTTATTGTATTCACCGCTCTACCTTTGTGTACTTTACTACAAGGCCATCATGTAAGATAAGGGGACAATCTGAACAAACTGGAATGCCTACTGTGACTTGGAAGTGAAGAAAAATGTGATGAAAGGGAGAATATTGCTAGGCTGTGTAGGTTGATTTTATCAATGTAGAAACATCTCCGATCCAACTGAAGACTTAACTGAGGAAAAAGCATCTGAGACAGTGTTTGTAACACTTTAGAAGTTGTCTGAATTCTACTGGAAGAAGCACAAAATTTAGATTAATTGGCTTTTACAAACGCATAAAGATATATGAACCCCTATGTTCACTACAGCATTATTCACAATAGCCAAGACTTGGAAACAACCTAAGTGCCCATCAACGGATGAATGGAAAAAGAAGATGTGGTATATATACACAATGGAATACTACTCAGCTATAAAAAAAGATAAAATCTTGCCATTTGTGACAACATAGATGGACCTTGAGGGTATTATGCTAAATGAAACAAGTCAGGTGCAGAGAGTCAAATACTGTATGATCTCACTCATAAGTAGAAGATAAAAGAAGAACAAACAAACACATAGATACACAGATTAGACTGGAGGTTACCAGAGGGGCAGCGGGGAGGGAGGAGAGTGAAAGAGGTGACTGGGTACATGTGTACGGTGATGGACAGTAATTAGTCTTTGGGCAGCGAATATGATGTAGTCTACACAAAAATCGAAATATAATGATGTACACCTGAAATTTACATAAATGTTATAAACCAATGTTACCTTAATAAAAACTAGCTTTTATAAAGGTCTTTAGATTTACAAAGTTCTTTCATAGGTAGATAGGTAGACAGACAGACAAACTCACTTCACCCTCACAACCACCATGTCCACTGTGCAGATGGAGAAGCAGATCATGTAGCTGTCGAGATCACACTGCACATCGAGATCACACTGCCACATTCAGTGGGAGAGGCTGACTGAAACTTTGGCCCTACACTCTTTCTGTTACACCACAATGGCTCTTGTGTTAGGCAGATACAAAGATCACCTCCTTAAAGTAAACGCATGTTGTTTAACAGAACTTTCTTAGGGATTTGGCAAATTTTACCTTCTCAAATACAAATACTTCTTTTACCCCTTCCTGAGCAATTCAGTCCTAAAGTCATTAGGTTGGGCTGAGCAAGTGTCCATGATAAAAATGGGATATTAAAGAGTTTACCTCCCCGCAAAATAGTTATTAATTAAAACAAGGGAAAAAGATGTAACTTTACAGTGGATAAACCTGGCAGATACCACCTTAGCCAAATGATCAAAGTGAACATCACCAGTAATGGGACCAGTTAAGATCATGTACCACCCGATAGGATACAATATGAAGAATACAGTATCATTTCTGTGATATTCCTGTCAAAGATGCATAACTTAAATCCAGTCATGAAGAACCAGACAAACCCAAACTGAGGAATGGTCTATAATATAACTGGCCTCTAATTTTCAAAAGTGTCAAGGTCATCAGAATCTAGTAAAGATGCTGAAACTGTTCCAGATTGAAGAAAACTTAAGAGACATGACAACTAAACGCAGCAAGTGATTCTCAACTGGATCCTTTGCTGTAAAGGACATTACTGGATCAACTGGAGAAATGTGAATAGGATCCAAGGATCGGATGGTAGTAGTTAGATGTTAATTTCTTGATTTTGATGGTTGTATACTGGTTCTATAAGAATGTGAAAGTTTAAAAACTATCCACTAATTCTTTGATATTCTTCCTTTCAAGAAGTGGAGCCTAATTTTCCTCCACTTGAGTGTGGGCTGAACTTAGTAACTCACTCTAACAAAGTTGTAGCAACTGTGTAACTTGAAAGGTAGGTCATAAACGGTACTCAAACTCTTTATTGCTCTCTCTTAGATCACTTGCTCTGGGAGAAATTAGCTCCATAGATGTGGACAAATAGCAGTCTTTGGCGAGGCCCACATAGTGGGATCCGATGGCTCACTCACTTGGAAACAGACCCTCCAGCCCCTGTCAAGTCTTCAGAGACAGTAGCCCCAGCTAAGAGCTTGATTGCAATCTCATGAGTTTTCCTGAGCCAGACCACACAGCTAAGCTGCTCCCAGATTCTCAACCCCCAGAAACTGTGGGAGATAATAAACATTTGTAGTTGTAGACTGCTAAGTTTTACGGTAATTCGTTATGCAGCACTAGATAACTAACACAAGGAGAACGTCCTTGTTTGTAAGAAATACACAATTTATTTTTTTATTTTTTGTGAGGAGATCAGCCCTGTGCTAACATCTGCCAATCCTCCTCTTTTTTT